CATCGTCTGCGCTTCTATATAACTATACAAGCTCGAGGCCACGCTGCACGTATGCCGAGTTATGGCTGAAATTCCGGGTTATTTCTGCCATAGCTTTACCTTTTTTTTCTCTCGCGCGCGGTACCGTGATCTATATATATTTGCGACCAGCGGAGGCGCTTGTCCACATCTGTCGCGCGAATTCGAAGCGACACGGTCGATAGGCTTCGCGCTGGATTTACGCGCAGTCGCGTAAACGACTACTACGCCACACTCGATATGGCCGCGCCGTTCTGAATCGGAACAATTCTCTTCGGCACAGGACCACTATTGGAAGCGAATAAAGCCAGACGAAGCCCGACACGCGCGGATCTTTGCTATCACAACAATGAAACGACGCGCCATTAGCCATCTCAATTTAACGCGTGCGATTATTTTATTTATGAAATCGCGTTTCGGCGCAGGACTTCCTTACTAAACAGTATAACCCATCACGCCACATCAAAAACGCAAGGGAGGGGGGGGGGGGGGGGGGGGTAACACCAATGCAAACGCAAAAGTGGTTGTACACCATACCCTGAGGCATTGGCCAAGAATCAGGTATATATTGGAAAAAATATATATATAGTTAAATCCTAGAAGAGAATAATATCTCGTTTCGTACAACAAGAAACATTTTTATTTATTTGATTTGCTCTTTGAAATTATGCACCAGCTCGAACATCTTCGTATTTATGCCTGTCAGTAGCCCCCCGTGCCACTCGGAACGGCGCTGATCTTATTCAGTGCGTATATATATATATATATACACTTCCCCACCCGCCTCTACATGCATCTATACGCTCCAAAGAGACGATTGTGTCAACGAGAGAAGTGCCCCAGGAGATAACGCAGCATGGAAAGAGCAGAAAGAAGAAAAAGAAAGGGGGGGGGGGGAGCAGAAGAATCTGTCTCCCCGTGGGAAATGACTTCATTCTGTTTGCTCCCGCGTGCCTCCTCAATCGCATACTATATACGCACTTGTTCTTCGTCCCGACGCCTTTCTTTTTTTATGCTCGCTTATAGCCTTTTGGTTTGTACTGCGCAGTTGTTGTTCGTTGTTCGGACGGTCAGGGTAGGGTAGTACCATATACCAACGCAAGACAAAGCACGGCAAACGCACGCGCAATCGTACAACAGTATATGTCGCGGACTAGTGTTTGGCGGCAAACGAATTCGTTCGATGCCTCCCCCCCCCCCCCCGTTCGATGTCTGCTGGGTCTGCTGGTCGGTGCCGGTCTTTCGCCTCCAAAAACTGCACGGTTGAACGGTCGTGCCACGTTTCCACGCAGCTGCAAGTTTCTTTCTTTCTTTATTCAATACTGCAGGCCTTATACAGGTCCGAGCAGGGTGGGGGCAAGAAAAAAAGAACAAAATGAAGCAAACACAAATATAGTTGATACAATTGCAACGATCTCAATGTGATTAAATGCTACAATGAATCGTTCCAGTCTGTTATGGTTGACTGCGATGTCGATCGGGCCAGCAAGCCCGGCCGCGGTGGTCTAGTGGCTAAGGTACTCGGCTGCTGACCCGCAGGGCGCGGGTTCGAATCCCGGCTGCGGCGGCTGCATTTCCGATGGAGGCGGAAATGTTGTAGGCCCGTGTGCTCAGATTTGGGCGCACGTTAAAGAACCCCAGGTGGTCGAAATTTCCGGAGCCCTCCACTACGGTGCCTCTCATAATCATATGGTGGTTTTGGGACGTTAAACCCCACATATCAATCAATCGATCGATCGGGCCGTCAAGCGCGCTACGTGGGACATGCGTCGCACGCGTGATTTTTTGACCGTCTCGATCCTCCGCGGTATAACCTTTGTAAGGCGTCGCGCTTGCAAAGCACGAGGGCGCGGGTTCGATTCCACACGGTGCACAGCAGCCGCCTCTGGACGGGGGCGAAATTCAAAGAACCGTCGTGCTTAGATTTTAGGTACAAGTTATTAACGCCCCGGTTGGTCTAAATTAATCTTGACGTTAGACCCTACAATCAATCAATCAATCGTCAAATTAATCTTGAGTGCCCCACTACGCGTCATGCCTCATTATCGCGTCAGCCCCGGCAATTGTTAGTATGAAAACACTGATAACACGCTTCTTCACGCTGGGATTCAATATAAGCGGCGTTCTACGGACGCGAAGTTGTGAACAGTGAAATACTACGTTGTAGCGAGAATTTCCTTCTATTAGTTCGTCATATCGATGTCGAACTTCATAACGATTTCGATATAACGATAACTTCCCTCGAACGCACCGGCCAGGCCGCGAATTGCGATCTGGAAACGCGCTTCATCCTGTGTACGTTATAACACCGTCGACCGCACCTCAAGCGAAAGCCTCGTTAATATTCAAGGCGGTACAACTATGAGATTTACTCTCTACTTCACGAAGGTTAGAGCTTTGCGACACTTATCGTGGCGTCGGTAAACTCAACATCTTTCGCATCGTCATCATCATCATCATCATTCTCAGCTTGTGTTAGTCTACTGCAAGCCTCTCCCAATGATCTCCAGTTTACCCTATATCCTGTGCGACAAATACGTACTAAACCTGAGCTTACGTGAGCTCTTGAATATTAACAAGGTGACCCCTATAGATACGGACAAGGCCCCGTATAGATGCGTGGAAACCGTGGAGGCTTTGGGTGTGCTGCCGAGTTCCTCCCTTCCGGGCGAAGGACCCTTGGAAGAAAAGATTTCGAAGTCCCCGAGGACTCGGCCGGCGCGCGGGGATTATAAGCGCACTTCGTGCGTGCAATTACAAAGAATTTCTCTCTCTCTCTTTCTCTTTCTCTCTCTTTCTCTCGCTCTTTCTCTCTCTCTTTCTCTCTCTCTTTCTCGCTCTTTCCTTCTCTCGCTCTCTCCTTCTCTCTTTCTCTCTCTCTCCTTCTCTCGCTCTCTCTCCTTCTCTCGCTCTCTCTCCTTCTACTCCTTCTCTCTCTTTCTCTCTCTCTCCTTCTCTCGCTCTCTCTCCTTCAACTCCTTCTCTCACTTTCTCTCTCTTTCTCTCTCGGGTGTTTGAGTTAAACGAACGCGTAGATGAAGCTTCCCTGTTGTGAAAAAAACGAGCGGCTGATCGGGGACGCTATTTGCATGCCAAACCTCGCCGGTGTTCACGCGAGGGATCAGTCTCGGACGTTATAGGACGCATTCTTGACCAGGCGTTCCGCCTCGCGGGCAGGCAATCTCAAATCGTGCCCCCCCCCCCCCCCCTCTTCTCCTTATTTCGCGCAATGACGGTGCGACTATTGCGATCAGCACACCACCCGCCCTCTGCCACGCACAGGAAGAGGAGGAGAAAAACTTTATTCATCTCAAGAGGGAAAGGTGCGGTGGTGGAGTGTCAGAGGAGCCTACCCAGCGTAGGTCTCCGCTACACTCTTGGCCCCATCCAAGAACTGGTCCTGGACCTCGGGCACCGAGCTGCACGTAGCAGCCTCCCACTGCTCCTCATTAATAATGTGTGGAAAATTGGGTGGTTGGTTTCGAGTACACCCCCACATGATATGGTCTAGGTTAGCTCTTTGTGCATTTTCTGTCAACAAAGTGGAGAGGTATATCGCAGGGTGTATAAGATGGCAGCGCGGCGTCTGCGTTCCGGGGACGTATATACTCCTCGCGCACTGAAGATAGGTTCAGGTGTGGTTCAGGTGCACAGCATCCGTGGAAGCTTTCAGGTTAGACACACCTGCACGCCTCTTGAGGGTGGGAATTAGCATTTTAGAGCTGTCCTGCAATACTTTCAGAGTAGTCGTCGAATGGCGTCATCAAAAGAGTTTGTTGCCTCGCGAATCGAATGTCGCAGAAGTTGTTTGAATCTGCGAGTGGAGTTGCAAGAATTTGTCGCACACTTCAAGCACTTTTTTTAATTTACCTTACTGGCGAACGCTCTGAAAACTCCGCAAGGAGAGAGAGGGGGGGTAAGAAGATCCGTGTATTCGTCAACGCGCGTCATAACCCTAAGCACGTTCTTTTTTATTTACTTTTCGTACGTGCGGCTTATTACGAATGGTGGCTCATTTAGCGCTTTTTCCTTTTTTTTCCTATGTCATGACAGAAGAACGTTGCCTTAAGTGTATTGTAACTATTCATGGTGGCTTTCGCTGCATGTTTTCATTAGCAGAATGAACTTGTATTTCTTTATTCTAGTATGTTACAAATAAAAAAAGCAGTTGTGTGTATTAAAATACTTTATTAGTGTCACCTATTATCGCAGTATTTTTTGCGTAACGTTTCCACCCACGCGTTTTTTTTTTCGTTTTGTTTTGGATGATTTAGTTTTTTTCACATTTTAAGCATGTTTTGCTGTTTGTATTTGATAACTCTGTACAGAGGGTTCCGGTACGGTCCCCTGACCTTGAGACCCTCTTCTGTATATCCTTCACGCTGTAACAACGCTATGCAAAAAATAAACTTCGATTTTGATTGATATTGAAATATACCAGTTAATTACGTACGATAGTCAAGCGAAACCATGGAGAACGGGCATGCGACTCCACGGCAAAGCAGGTTAGCAGATAATTCACGACTAATATGAGTTGATATCCCTCATGCACGAACCAACACGGACAGAGTGGTATTTCGCAATGACGATTCTGCAGCTATCGATGAAATATGCCTAAAAGATATAATATAGATATGTGAGGGCAAGCTTGTATTCCATGCTTACATTGAGAACCTTGAGCCCGTGGCAACGACTTCCTAACAACTGACCAAAGGATATAGTAGCTTTCTACGTGCTGTTATTTCATCGCAAAGTTTGCGTTGAAGCCATAGACCGCACGCAGGTCACTTCGCTGCAGAGGCCGCGCTTGCTAAGGCGGCGAGCTTTTAGGCTTTCTTCGTATGACATTTTTATTTGTTTATATATCATGCGTCGCTTCGCGCCCTCGTGGCGAAACTGTGATGTTATTTTTTTTTTTTTGCTTCTTTTCCTTTAAACAAACACCGACGGCTTAAAGTGTTCTGTTTTCCTTCTCGTTGCAGAAGCACCACTCCGAGAAGAAGGCGCACAGCGAACTGGAGGGCAGCGACACCTGGCGCAAGCTGCACAAGTCCAACAAGCACAGCAAGGAGCGTTTCCACCACCACGAGAAACACGTGAGTGTAGTACACGCACGCTCGCACCTCGTAGTGGCCCCGCCGCGGTGGTCTAGTGGCTAAGGTACTCGGCTGCTGACCCGCAGGTCGCGGGATCGAATCCCGGCTGCGGCGGCTGCATTTCCGATGGAGGCCGAAATGTTGTAGGCCCGTGTGTTCAGATTTGGGTGAACGTTAAAGAACCCCAGGTGGTCGAAATTTCCGGAGCCCTCCACTACGGCGTCTCTCATAATCATTTGGTGGTTTTGGGACGTTAAACCCCGCATATCAATCAATCGGCACCTCATAGTGTTCTTGAATAGGAACACGATGTTCACCAGCTGTGCGTGTGTATATGTATAGGGCGAATCATAGCGCCGCCACGTTTGAGGGCGTCTATAGAGTGAGCAGTGCCACTACTTGGCTGCACTGTCGGCTGATTAAGACATAAGCGTCAAAAGCCGGCGACTAAAGTTTAGGAGACCACGAGTCAAGAAGAAGCGGTACATTCCCGCTGCATCGGCAGACAGCCTTGAATTTAAGATTTCCGGCCTGTTCAAAAACGCGCGAACAACGTGTTCTGCGCAGTTCAGCCCGATGCAGTCACAAAATGCTGCGAAATTGTTCTGTCACACCTAGTGGTCTCTGAACATTCGACGTCTACTGTACAGTCGTCGGCAAGCTTAACTCGAACGCTCCAGAGCGTGGTCTCACCCCCCGTATTCTAGAACGCCCCTTCACTCAACGCTCCACCTTCACTCGAGAAAGCCGATGGGAGCGCCGTCTCTAGTCACGACAAGTCACTGCCTATCCGCGATAATCTGCTACGACTCTCGAGCAGCGCAGCGCCATTTCCAGCCGAGCGGTGGCGCAGTGCTCACCTCTGTCAAGTGGAGGGTGAAAGTCGTGTCGAGGAGCGTTTGTGGAAACGGGGGTGAGTATTTGACCGATGCCAGCCGCGAAGCACTGGACAGTGCGGCCGAGATGACATGTCTGGATATTATGCAGGCATGCATTGGTAACATTGCGGCAACAAGACCCAAAGCAACGCGGCGCTATAGCGTCAATCAAACTGTTTCGGGATATTGTGCGCACCGTCCAGTTATCACCGCAAACACACTGGCATATATGCGCAGAGTTGCCGAACAAGATATGCGCGCCTGTCAATGGTGATAACCGGAGGGTGATGACCAGGTATACCATCGCGAAGGCTTGCCGCTGTTGGGGTTTCATTTGCCGCTGATAGTACTATAGCAGGCACGTTCATGATGACCGGTCGTGTTTTTCTTTTTCGGAGGTACTTCGCGCAATATTTTCGTATACCCTGTATATGCTGTAAACGGTAAACGACTTTTTTAGTTCAAATACGACAGAATAGATTCCCTACCCTAACCCACAGGCGCCATCTCCTCCTCGCCAAACATTGTTTGTTTTTTTTTATACCCGTAAAACACGCGTATAATGTCCGTACTGAGTGCTGAGCCTATCGGGCTTTCGCACTTTTAGGCTCAGCGCTTGCGCAGTAGAGAACGCACAAAAACGAAGCGAAATCAGTTAATTGCGCACTATAGTCAAGCGAGACAAAAAAGAAAGGGCATGCGACTGCGTGACAAAGCAGGGTAGCAGGCGATTCGCGACTGATATCCCTCACACACGGACCAATTGAAATCTCGTCTCTTCATGACGTCGCCTGCGGAGACTGATGACGTCACGAGTTTCGCCGAAAGGAAGCTAACCGTCGGCAGAGTATAAAGAGCTCGTTCTTTGTACTTTCATGGATTATTTGGGCACGGCTGGACTTGACAGGCGAGCGGGCCCAGTCTGGGCTTGGTTTGGGCATGGCCTCTTGAGACTGCGCGCCGGTGGGTGTTTCGGAAGCCATGGTTCGGTGCATATAGTCTCTCATAATAGTACACCAGGGGGAGGCTCAGCGCTAGCGTTTGCGGGAGCTGCAACGCATGTAAAGACAAGCCAACGTGATATTGACAGGTACATGAATTTGCCTAAGCTCATACCGCATGCTAGGCCCTTGCGCTATAATTGAAGCATGAACTGAAGCTTATAGCCAACGTGAAGTGGAAGCTGCGACCGACAACAGTGTCGATAGCCACGCGATCCACTGCTCTGTATAGGCAAGTGTGACTACATCCGTACTACCCATCATCCCCACGATGGCTGAACGATCGCAGCGCCACAGTTCCCTCTAGTGAATATCCTAGGCAAACTCTATTGTTTAGGGGGCCCTTTAAGCGATACCGCCGTGTCCGGGTTTCTCAAGTTTTCCGTGCCGGAAGACTGACAAGTGCTGCAGATTGGGCGAGCTGGTGCTTCTAGCGCTCATCCTGTTGTTTCTCTTTCCATTCTTTCCATCATTTCTTTTTATGCTCAATCTGAGCTGCTCTATAGCTATACGGAAGACGGACATCGCTGCTGTTCATTGCCCTAACTTATTTCATCTAAAAAGCAGCGCGATGTCGTGACGAGAAACATTCCACCCCACCAGACACACTCGCCTCCAGACGCTGCATGGGTGCACGGCAAGAACGCTCACGTCCGATAAGATAACGCTCTTTGGCGGAAGCTGTGAAATCTCGGCAAAACGCGTTGCGATGTATGTACTTGCGTGACACTCCGTATCGCGTGCTGTAAATAAGGCAAACCTTATACGCACGTCTGGCCCCGCGCTGAATGAAACTGTAAAAATGAACAGGCTATACGAGGCTATACGGCTGTATTTTATATATGTGTACATACGGCTGTTGCTGAAACGACGTTCTCTGAAAATGCCCTTTTCTCTGTATACATGTCGAAGAAGGAAATTTGAGAGCGTTGCGAGGGCTATGTGAGATGGTCCCTCATAATCATAGCGTTGTTCATGGATGTAAAACCCCGGATAGAGCTAGTTGAGGAGATGAGAACGTTCCTGCTTACGCGGCGGGTCGCGCACGTGTAGTATAGTCTGCTATCGCGACGCCATTAGAGAACGCTGATCACGCAAAAAAAAAAAAGATATACACGTCGCGAAGATAAGACGTCATCACGGTGTAACGTACACGCTGATAAGCGACCACTGCGCGAATTCGTGAAATAGCCGCAAACACTAATATTTATACGCGGTGTGCTCTTCGAGACGATGTCACCGATGGTTTTTTCCGCACGCCGTTACAGCGGTGTATGGCAAATATTTCTACCCAAACTTGACTATATCTTTAATTTTTAGTTTGTAACTATGCACACAAGCATACAAACACACGCACGAACATACATGAAAGGTGTTTGGTTGGTCGTAAGCCCCTTCCCCCCCCCCCCCTCCTCGAAAAATGGCTGTCTACGTTCCGCGCTGCACGCACTGGCTAACGCCGAATTATAGTGTTTGAAGACGGTGCCGTAAGTAATTCAATAACGTTGTATAGTGACAGCTAACTATGAGGACATGTTGGGTATTTGCCCGCAACTCGCGGGCACATTCAGGTATACGAAAGGTGGCCACGATAACCGAGGCGTTGCGTATTTTGCTCGCCGAACTTGTTGCACATACATCTTGCACTGAGAGCGCCGCACGCTAATCGAACGATGGAGGCGGAAATGTTCTAGGCCCGTGTGCTGAGATTTGGGTGCACGTTAAAGAACCCCAGGTGGTCGAAATTTCCGGAGCCCTTCACTACGGCGTCTCTCGTAATCATATGGTGGTTTTGGGACGTTAGACCCCACATATCAATCAACGCTCATTGAACGCAATAAGCATGCATGCAGCGTTGAGTTTGCGCCGCTTCATCTGCTGTCGGTACACACGTTCGTACAGCGGACGTAGCAGTTCTATCGAAATAAGTGCGTGCTATGCATCGATTTCCCTATGCGTACCCATCCTCACAAGTGTGTTTAGAAAAAGAGGGTAACGATTTAGAGTACTAGGTACTCTACCTGCCACTGGAGGGCGTCGTGGCGTGTCCGAAACAGGGAAGTTTATTGCAAACTGGTAACAACATTTCAGGTGAGTACAAATGTCTGCTGTAACAAAATCACTTCAGTGGCATCTACAAACAAGAGAACATAGACAGCATGTAACACACAGCACTTCCAATATTCTCACAGATCACGAATCACTCGAGAAAACAAATGTGAGCGCTGACATAGTTGTCTCAACTGAAAATGGGGACGAAACAAAAAAGAACCTGGCACTCGCGACCGCCAAGAAATGCGTCCTCCGGAGGTGCGCTAGTCACATGCGCATTTCTATGTGCCGTTTTCCGACGCCCGATGCCATCTCGGTCGTGGTTTTGTCAGCGATAAGCCGTTTCTGATATGACACACTGATGTTTTATCGAAGTAGCTTCGCTATACACTTCAGCCCCGCCGCGGTGGTCTAGTGGCTAAGGTACTCGGCTGCTGACCCGCAAATGGGGGGGATCGAATCCCGGCTGCGGCGGTTGCATTTGCGATGGAGGTGGAAATGTTGTGGGCCCGTGTGCCCACATTTGCGTGCACGTTAAAGAACCCCAGGTGGTCGAAACGTTCGGAGCCCTCCACTACGGTGTCTCTCATAATCATATGGTGTTTTTGAGACGTTAAACCCCATATATCAATCTCCCAAAAAACAATCAATCGCAACGCTCTACTACACTTTTTTTTTACATTTCCACACTTCCTTGTTGTCAGTAGATTAACGAATGGCCGCGTCGTTGTTGCCTGTAGCAACTAAAGTATTGCGCTCCTAGTGACGTGGATGAAGGTGCATTTCCCGGCATCAAGGAAAAAAGAAAAGTGAGGACATTGCGCAATGCGATAGAAAGAAGGAAAAGAAAAATAGTACGTCAAGCACAAACACGCCAAGCTTACTCGATTGCCTCCATTTTCCCCCAAAAAAAAGAGGGGGGGGGGGGGCACGGACTCCTGATTATTTTTTTTTTCCTCGTCACCGTGACTCAGTATTACGGAGTTGGCAACTGCTCCTTTGTCTCATCCGCGCACGCATAAATTTGCTCGTGATAAATTTAAGCCCTTTCCGGGCGCCACTATATAGT